TGCATCACACGTAATTTGGTGAAGGTCAATAGAGCCGTCTCGGGGTTATTGACGGACATCGTCTAGTGATGTTGAAAGTAGCTCCGCCGAATCGACAGTATCGCTTGTTAGTAACAGTGGCAGAGCTCGCTAGATGACTCGTGCTCAGCGTCGCTATATTCTCGCTCGCTCCATAACTATCATTCCTCGATGTTCAGCTCTACAGATAAGAACGTTGATTAGCATGCTCCAATGTGTGCACGTGACTCACGTGACGTGAGTACTATCGCATGCGTGTCGCTCCATAGCTTCGCACGCACGTACAAGTGGAGGAGCCGAACTAGTTGTTATTGGCAGAGGTATGAGTCTACTACTTGTTAGTCCATTCTTACCTCACTCCTTGTCGGCCGTGTTGGTGACGTTTTCAAGCAATCATTCGCGAGCCTCGATCTTGAGTCATTCGGTGAAGGATCGGACTTGTTATCATGATATCAGTTATTTCACCATCCTTGATGTTCTTCCGTGCCGCTGCAGTAGCTCTTCTATCCCTAGCCCACGTGTCTGCCTCCTCTTGTGGACCCAACAAATGCATCGGCTTCGCATTTACTGGTGGATTCCGCTGTAACTGGAAGACTGGGAAATGTGGAGCCGGTCTATTGGGTCTAACCCCGACCGACGTGGATTGTGCTTGTTGATTAGAAATCGGGTGAGATATGATGTAACCTATTCTTGCACTTTACACGATGAGTGCTTCATTTCTGCTGTCTTGACCCTGTTCGTTCGAGAGCGGCCACCTCACCGTCCTCCCGTGCGGGTGTGGTAGCTCTCCTATCCTTGATCCAGTATTTGGTGTCTCCGCATCATGAAGGCGTCCTACCGGCGCGAAACACGCCTGGTTGATGCCGTCTGCGCCTCACAGAACATTGAGCCATTTCTTGAGAGTGCTCGTTCGAGGACATTAACTTCACGCATGAGCACCGCACTCGGTGGTGAACTCATTTGAGTCAAGTAGTATGTCCAACAAAATGATTCTGAGGTCGGTTCGAAGGCAAGTATGCTGCCTATTATATGTAGTCTAGATGATGTAGATTCTACATTGTTCTACATTGTAGAACAATGCTTCTTTCGAAACGCGATTACGTTGTTGTGTTCAACTTGAAGTCAATTTGTAGCAAATCTGCAAATAGGAGTCGACTTGAACAACGATGTCTATCGAATCGATAGACATCGATAGTATCAATGACAATTCATCATATCTTAACGGTCGCGTACTATCCGGCAGGCTGTAAACCAAGTAGGGGCTGTAAGACCGCCATACTATGACGATGTTTGAGATCTTGCCTCAGACTCAAACGCGCGCGAACATTTGTGTTGAGTGTTGAGCAACCATATGGTTGGACCGTTCCCCTGCATGGTGAGAGTAGCGGAGAGACAAGACGAGAGCCACGATGTTATTAACGCAAGCAGTGTCTCAGCCACCGAGCCGATTTGATTTGATTTGATTTGATACTCGCGTATGTCTTCTGCCAGAAGACTTCTGGAGCCAATTAAAGTGTTCACCTCTCCGAGTCCGAGCAGTCGGAAGAGTAGACTTCCCCCCGGGAAGTTCCCGGGCTCGAGAAATTTCCGTGCATTGAAATGCTCCTACACTCCGAGTGCCGAGTCCGAGTACTCGGAGCGACACTCGGACTTGTAAATTCCGTCTTGGCCCAAGACGGAATTTACAAGTCCCAAGACTCTTGGGACATTTCTTCTCGGAGATTCTCATTGAAGTGTGAGTAATCCGAACTCTGAGTAGCACATTTTTCTGAGGCCCTCAAGCTTTCTGCTCGATGTGGCGGCCAAATCGCTGGCATAGACAAGAATCCACTAAGTGAGCCAAGTTGTTGCCGGAAGATCAGCCTCAGGTTCAGCAAATCACCAAAGATCTCCAGGTCTGCTCATCCAGAGAGGTCCACGACTCTCTCCTTGATGCTCCATCGATGCTCTGGGAGCACCTTTCGTCTCAACTGAGTAATACTTCAAATCTAGAGATGGAATACGATGATCTGGAATCCCGTCATGTGCAGCGCGGCGCCACTGGCCGCCAGTGACTGGCGTCATGATGCAGCATAAAGGAGTAATCGAACGAGTTACTGTTGACGGTCGCCGGTATGTGAATTCACTCGCACATATGATCAACACGATCCGCCATTCGTCCTCCATCGCCAGTGGGACTTACTGCCTCTTCGATGGAAGGTGAACGATTTGTGGCCGAGCCTGTGCCCTCCATAGCAGTGTCAGCAATGAGGGCTTCGAATAGGGCGTCGAAGTAGTCACGATCGCTGCCCAGCTTGATGCTACGCACCAACCAGTACTTCCCCTTAGCAGATATGACCGCGAGAGCACTCGCTAACCAAAGCAGAGGTCGAATGGGAATCCCATGTACCAGACCTGTGTGAAGCACCATGCTTAAGATCGCCCTTGCGAAGTCCAAGGGTGCTTGAGCAGTCGTTGAAGTCCAACGGTTGGACTCCCGCAGCGACATTCCCGCTGCCTTCAACCCCTACGTCATTGGATACCATAGCCGAAGCCCAGTTAGAGAGGAATGCCTTAACCCCTCTCAGGGGTATGGTTCCGAACTCCAAGAGCCTGGCCAGGAGATAATCCGTCTGAGCCGAAGATATCAGGCTAGGGTCGAAATCAAGTGAGAAGGATTTGAAACCGGGACCAAGAGTGAGAGATGTTCTCCATTTCCTAATCTCTGTGGCGTCTTGGGGTCAGGGTGCTCCGGCAAAGGAAAAAATGAGCGAGGAAATGGCGAAGTGGCAACGAAGTGGCAAGAACTGGCAAAATAGGCGTTTCCACAGGGAAAATTTCTTGGCCCGCCTGTTGGCGGTCCTGCAGAGAATTTTCACCTTATAGGGCAATGATCGCCTGTAATTCAGGTCTGCAGAGCGGCTCTGCCAGAGCCTCTCACACTGCTCAGCCAAAGAGTTTAGTCCCCCCCCCCTGCTACGACGTGACCGCCCAATGAAGTTCAGCTTTGTGTTAACGATGTTAAAAGGTCTCGAAACGTCTAGCCGTCTCAAGTAACAATTGGATAGAGTCATACTTGATCTGTCGGGCACCAATCTCTCTACGGATCTCTTCCCGCAGCTTCACAATGAACTGCAACTGCAACTGAAGGTCATTGACCTAGTCGATCCATTCTCCTCCTGGGAGGCTGTCACATAGATGTTAGGGATCAACTTCTGCAGATCATGATGGAGGTCCAGAAATCGCACAGAGAATTCTTCTACTGTCTCATCAACATTCTGAGACATAGCATTGAACCTGGTGAGTAGTCTACTCACCAGGTTCAATGCTATGCTCGATCTAAGATCGAGTCTCGATCATCGAGAGTCTTTTCCTCCTTAGGTTTCGCTCTTTCAGAAGATAGGAAACTCAACTTTTTTGCAGTTGTTAGTAACAACTTGTTACGACAGTCCTCTTCCGACTTGGCACTCGCGACTCGCGAGTCGCGAGCTCAGAATGATACTGAGACTCAGCTAACCTCACCAGATCGAAAGCCCTCTTATCTTGCATCACTTGCTGTTTCAGCAGAGCAACCCAATTGATGCGAGAAGTCATCTAAATCATCCGTCGATCTGTAGCCGGCAGAACGACATTAGGTAATCTGAGGCCAACAATAGTTGCCGATGACGATGATGAATCATTGATGATGGCCGATTATCACGAATCTGAGTCTTCTGAGCCACCACTTCTGTAAGCTGTGTCAGCTTATCATTCAATGCCTCAATCTTCACAGTGGGAGCATCAGACATTTCTCGGCTCAGCCCCCGAATGTTGTAGGGTTCAGGACAGATATGAACTTAGTAGTGATTCTATACCTTTCAGAAATCTTTTTGGCGGATTAGGCTACCGATTCAGCGGATAAGGAAGTCACCTTCGCGGATAGGGCCCTCCATTTAGCGATGAGAGTCGAATAGCGAAATCAATTTCGCGAATAAAGACATCAATTTCATGATTAAGGAATGTAATTTCACGAACAAGGACATCAATTTCGGGGTTAGAGTTCCATGTACATAAAAGATTCTTCGTGCTGCTAGAATTGAGTGATAACGTGTAAACGAATCCTTCATGCTGCGCAGAAACATCCTCCCCGAAATTATTTCTGGGAAGATGTAGCCCAGGCGGAACCAATGACAGCAATGAAAGCTCATAGGACAGTCCTCGCTAGTATCGCATCGTAATCTCTATTACCTCACCTGATCGTGTTACAAGCTACACGGGATGTTACTTAGATCTGGAACGAAATTATCTACTCGTGATCGCTGTGCTTTCTGTCACGATTCAACAGGTTTAACTCCCTCTACACCTCCGTCTAACGACGCGACTGAACCACCAAGAAGTACATCTACTTCGAGATCACTACTTGTTTCTTCAACTTCGCCCCTAAGTCGTCCCGTACAGCTGCAACGGCTCGCAGCCCCAGGCTGAAATGGATAAGATAAGATGCCTTATTACCTATTATGGCTATCCCAAGTGTTGTTGAGTCAACCAGTGCGGGTGTTAATACTAACAACTCTATGCCACATAGACTATGTGCATGCGTGCAATTTTATAGTAACACGTGTAATGTTTTTACGGTGGTCCCTGACTTATTACTGCTATATCTGCTGTGCCACGGCTGCCCACAATCCATTGCCAATCATTTATAGCTATTGAATGGCAATGGTCTAGGCACATTGGTGTTCAATACCTTTTCTTTGCGAACTTCCATCTCGGCCTCCTTCCTTCGATGTGCCTGCGTGCAATATTGCACAATCGGCTGTCCTCTGGCGCGCGTTGTTGCGTTTTTTGCCCAGATTTGTCGCAACATCTGTTTGAATGCCACCTTCCCCAGAAGTGAGCATGTGGGAGTCCAGTGGACGAACAGAACAACGAGGCGATGGTAAGCCTCCTCCCCTTCTTTCCGTGAGAATCCTTACTCTCAGATGATCGTCGAGGTGGCTATAGCGGATGGAATACATCATATAAGGGCAACAATCAGTCCAACTGGAATGGTAGTCGTTATGGTGATAATAGTAACCGAGGACAAGGCAAGGGTTGGTCGTGCTCAGAGATCGTGCTTGGTTAAACCTTTGTCGTTATAGGTGGCGAACGTAATTGGACCGTACAGGGTAATTATCGGAACAATGGTTACAATGGGGGAGGATATAGAAATGATCGCTATAGTGGAGGCGCTAACTGGAAAGGTGGTAGACAGTCGGGTGGTGGCTATGGCAAAGGAGGTTATAATAATAACGGTGGTGGAAAGGGATATGGCAGAGATCGATACGATGACTTGTGGGTTGATAGGAGTATCTCGAGGTGTGGTATGGCGTTGTTCAGGAGCTGGGATGCTGGTATCGATTGGGACTATGAGAAGCTAGCACAGTTCAATAAGGATTTCTATGTGCCTCATCCGACAGTGGAAGGTCGAAGTGAGGGAGAGGTTGATGATATTAGAAGAGCTAATAGAATTCAATTAATTGAAGCTCACGGGATGAAGGTAGTACTCATTTGGGCCTATTTCGTATCTTTCCGGAAGCGACCTTGGATTCCTCTCAGTGCCCCAAGCCCGTGACCACTTTCGAGGAATCTAATTTTCCGGATTATCTGGTAGGCTCCATCGGCCGTGTACAGCTGCTGCTGCTCAGCATTATGCTGTTCAGATTTCCACCCTAAACCAGCGCTTCCCAGGAGGGCATCCATCGGCCATCCAAATGCAGGGTTGGCCCGTGGCGAGCAGTGGGAGGGATCTCGTCGGAGTTGCCGAGACCGGTAGTGGGAAGACTCTGGCCTACCTCATGCCGGCCATTGTTCACATCGCCGCCCAACCTGAGGTCGAACAGGGTGATGGACCGGTGGCCTTGGTCTTGGTACCTACTAGGGAGCTGTCACAACAGGTAGGGGAGGGGGATGAGGGAGTGAAGTAAGGGTAAGGTCAGGTTCATACCGAAGCGAAGCTCTTAGCCGAGTCGATGCTGCAGATCGGATCGGTTCCGCTGAGGATTGCCTGTGTGTATGGGGGACAGCCCAAACGGCAACAAGAGGTGCGTGTGACGGTAGTGAATTTCATGGCGCGTGACGGTGATCTCCTCAGAGGGAGCTGTGGACCGCTCCGGAACTGCTGGTTGCGACCCCAGGTCGTTTAATTGACTTTTTGCAGAATGGAGCTACCAACCTCAAGCGTGTTACGTGAGAAAATGCCGCGACTGGGAATCGAACCGGGGACCATCCGGTAGGTATCTCGTGATTGACGAGGCTGACGAGATGCTCGCCTTGGGTTTCGGGAGGCAGCTCGATTCTATCTGCTCGGCAATCCGCCCCGACCGTCAAACTCTCATGTGGAGTGCCACCTGGCCCAGGGAGGTAACAACGCTACTCGCGGAAAAGATGTTTGCTCTCTCAGCTGGGTCTAGAAGTTTCCTCACTAGTTATAGAAGTTTACATACAAATTTGGGAAAAAGTTTACAGAAACCAATGAAAATTCCCACAATTTTCCTCAGAAATTCCGCAAGTGTCACCTACACATGTAGGATGGATTTTAGATACAAGATTTGGCACGCAAGCACTGCCGAGAGATGCCCGTGCATATCAACATTGGCAGTCAATCGTTGGCTGCGTGTCACCAAGTGAGGGGGGGGGGGAGGCGGTGATAGGGAGGAGTAGATTGGGTGTCGCTGTAGGTGACGCAAGATTTTGTCTTCCTCGAGCATCCCGGGATGAAACAGAAAGAATTCATGGATAATGTAGTAGTTGAATTGATGGGAAGTGGTCGAATGGAAGGTGATGCAGGTAATTCCGAAAGTCTGGAATGTGCTGGAGAGTAACGGAGAGGCAAAAGCGTTGATTTTCTGCAATACAAAGAGAGAAGTCGATCAGCTCACGCAGCTGTTGCGAAGTCAGGGGTAGCTCTTGCTTCACGAGAGGTTGACCATTGCTGATGATCTTAACAGGTATAATGCTGTTTGCATTCACTCTGATAAAGAGCAGTCTGAGAGGGAATGGGTATTCGCACAATATAGGGATGGAGATGTGCGTTTGTTAGTCGCCACCAATTTGATGGGTAGTAGTTCGAATATTACCTCGACGATTTGAATCCTCATGTCAGGTCGAGGAGTTGATATTAAGAATATTCAGTTCGTCATCAACTATGACATGCCGCAGAATGTTGAAGAGTACCTCAGCATCCCTGTCATGTCTCTTGTAGATAACTTGGTTTAGGTATGTCCATCGTATCGGACGAACCGCCCGTGCGGGAGCACATGGTACTTCCATTACTCTGTTCACAGCACAGGAAGGAAGGCATGCGAAAGATCTCGTTGATATCTTGAACGAAGCTGGGCAGAACATTCCTGAGTTCCTGTTGATGTTGAAAGACAATCCGTAGGGATGTCATGAAGTGGCTACTTCACTGGTTCTCATTTCTCGTCCCCTATCAGGTATTGGCGACCGGGTTTCTGAGAGATGAATTGGAGTAATGTGTGATGAGATGTTGCGAATTTGATTTGCTGATCTGCTGTGAATCTGCAGTGTTCTTTCGGAAGCTGGGCTTTCTACGTTTTTCATATATATTGTTGAGTTGTTACGGGCGAGGGAAGTGTCAGAAAGGTACGGTGTTGACACGCAGGTTGCAGTTGAGTATAGCCGTTGCAAATTTGCAACCTCTGTCACGGCAGAGTCTCACTATCCGGACTTGGATCGGAGTTGTCATGGTCAGCAGACGAGAGCGAGTGATCGAGAACGAATGCAAATTCATGGCTGATAATACCTACTACATGTTATTCACCCGATGCCTGTCTCTCGCTCAGTGACATTGGCGCCAACAAGGAAAAATGTTTGCCGTTGTGGATGGTCAGGTGAATTTCACGGACAGTATGAATATGTCGGTCCCGTCTTCGGGTTTTTTGTACAAGCCAGCTGTATGGTTCAAAACGTGTACTTAATGCTTCGGTCCAACAGCAGAGTTACGGGAGTAATTTATGCGGAGTTCTCGTTATTGCTAGACTTACTGTGGTTGTTTTTAACCGCCAGCGGTTTCGTCTTTCGGTGTTCGATGAAGCTGGTATGAGATACCATTCGGCTGCATGTATTACTAGGAAACTTTCCTAAGGAAAGAAATTAGCAGGTTTCGGGAAATCTTTCCCGCGCTAGCTAGCATGTTATTCTCACCTGAAGGGGAATTCAATACCTGAGTTTAAAGCTTTTATGAGAGTTCTAAGAGTGTAGTTGTCAATTGAATATTCCTCAAATAATTCCTTAATATCGGACGACGATGATAAGCGTTCATTGATCACCCAACTAGCTATGTCTGCACCCTTATCAGAACTCTTGCCGCTATGTATCATAACCACACTTATTAGTGAACATAATGCCTAATCTATTGATGATTTCCGAAACCATACCTTTGACTATGTTACTTAACATACGAAGTATAATCACTAGCGGCTGGTAAGTCTCAACACAGTGTACTAACTTAAGCTGTAGCCTAAGTCCCAGGCCAGTAAGAATCAGAAGCTTAACTCACTCCTGTCCTTAGTCTAACCTTTAAGAGCACTAGGCAAGTGCTCGAGCAAGGCCTCAGCACGCATGCAGAAATACGTGACGCCACCGGTGTCACGGCGCACAATACAATAACAGTAATAACACAGCAATACAGTCAAATATAAACACCGCAAAGCCGTATAATGTTTCATGAGTCTCCGTACACTGCGCTGGAGTGCACAACGGCCCGTAATAATTACGACATAATTTAGGAGTCTACACTTGTAGACTACAAGGAATGAGGTTATACGTTGAGACTTGTTAAATTGCGACATGTATACTCTTCGGTAGACGCAGGACTGTCCTTTACTCCCCCTCGCGGTGAGGGCCTCACTCACAGTAGCGGAAGGCAGGTCGTTTTAAGACGTGTGAAAAAAACCCAAGTCGTAAAATTTTACCCGTGCGAAAGCATCCCAAGAATTTAGTACAGAAGTGGAAGTAAAGTTTTACCCGGTGTCAAAAGTTTCTTTATCGGAAAAAATAAAGTGAGTAAAAACGTGCAGAATTTGGTACAACAGTGGACATTTTACCCACTACAAAACTCAATCGTTTGCGTGCGAAAAAGTCCTGATCCGGCATAAATCGCTCACCTATCATCGTTCAGTACAAAAGTGGTTTAGTACAGAAGTGGAGACACGCCCCCCCATGCAGAATCGATCGAACAATCGATTTCCAGCTAACCGTCCCTCAAGCAACAACTTGTACTCTTCTTGTTATTAACGAACTCAACCCTCTCCAAATCAGTTCTACAGCAACCAACATGGACCACAGGAACACATCGCGCGCGCCAAGATGATCGATATGTCAATTTAAGGCAAAACAAAACTCCTTCCCAAACCAACGACTCTTATCCTTGTCCCTAAACTTGTGAGCATGAACTAACGAAGGCCGTTTGGGATCCCACGGCTCTACGGGAACAGCCGACGCCTCTGAAAAGTGTAAATATTGACGGAAAAAATAAAATCAAAAACATTCCTCACCGTAACAACGTCCACAGCTTCGCCAATTCCACATTTCTCGAGGCATAAGCCACTGACATGAACATCCAATTCTCATATGAGAGTTGAAACACAGTTTCCCACTTTTTCTCTTTTGCATCGCTCCGCCGCGATTTCCGCCCGCCTGACTTCCTTCTGAATCTTCTTCCACCCACAGTAGGGAGCTTTTCGCTCACAACAAGCGAACCTGCCGAGATCGACAATTGCGAAACTCATATTCTCTCCAGAGTTGCATTTTCACTCGTGAATGAACACTGGCGTTGAGGAATAGCAAGATGTATCAAGATGAGCAAGATACTCACCTTTCCTTGGTGCTACTCCTAGCTCGAGCCACAGCCGCTTCCTCAACTCTCGCCATCGGGGCTACATCGATTTTAGGGTGCAACATCTTTCTAATTTGCAATTTTCCGAAAACCGGGGGAGTTTCTGTAGTCGGGAGGTGCATAAGTGGATTAGACAGAAATCGCTGATACCACAGACGGTCCGACGCAAATATTTCATCCTGGAATACGAAATACTACAAAAAACCTCTTCAATTCATTCACACATTCTTCTGTCAAAACAGCACTGTCATTGCGCCTCGATCGTCTTAACGGAAGAAGGGACAATAGCAACGTCACAGGAAGGTAATCAAAGCTTAGCTTTCTAACGAAGGCTTGCGTGGAAAATGTGTTTTGGATTTTTACTAAAATTGGAAATTCCTGAGCTCGACTGAAAATTTTTTAGTCGAGCTCAGGAATTTCCAATGCTACATTATACAGATTTACGCACGAAGAGAGGTCAAAGTGTTCAAGAACCCGCAAGATTTGTCTCTCATCCTCACCAACACACGTAGTTGGTCATATACCTATTTCTTCACACCACCTGGGAGAATCTACAGTTGGAGTTAACCCATAAGAGATCGACCTGTCGGTGACCAGTGCCGCCAAAGCTAGAAGTAAGTCTCACCTGAAGTGTTCATAGGCCCGTAAATAACATGAAAAATATAATTGGAATTCCGAACAAATGGAAGTAAACTGAGGCAACTTCAAGTTCGTCTTGTACAAGGCGACCGAGGAGCGTCTTCATGGGGTGCGCCCAGCTAGGCTGTAGAGGACGCTTCTACCACCCTTGTAGATGCGCCTCAGCTGCTGGAGTCACCATTCTCATCACCGACGGCCCTACGATAAAGTTACCTCATCCATACTGTTGGTCTCCGCGGGGTTGTCATGTCAAACAACGCATTCAGCTGGATGGCGAACCATGGAGAGAGTATGTTGCCTGTTCATATCGTTGCCCAACTGCTCTGTAACAAGGCTTATGCGGTGGAGACGAAATAAAGACGTATTATGGAGTGGCCGCTGGAAAGGAGTGAAGATTATAATCAAAATTATAGACCATGGGCGATTGATTCTCAGCTTAATGGCACCAATCCACAAGCCTGCACATCTCTGCTCGCCTGACTCTGATGATGGTTAGTCTGAGCGAACAACATCATTTAGCTAAAACTATGAGCGCCATTCTCATCGGGGGAGCTGGCCGTTTCTCACAGAGCCGTTTCATCTACACAAGGCGAAGCGGAGCGGCGCGGTTGTATCTTAACTATTTCCAGACCGTTTGGGTGATTTGTTCCGACTCACGGCGGGCCAGTCGGACGAGAATACTGGAGCGAATGCCATTCGTGATTACGCTTCACAACTACCAGTTCCACAACACCGGAGTAGACAGATGGGAGTCTTCTAAGATAAGGATACGGAGTCGGTCTTCTGCGTGCAAAGATACGGATCAAGTTGCCCCAGCCCACCGGGTAATACTTTGTCATTACTACTGTGAACTAGACTTCCGTAGGGCTCCCACGGAAAACACACGAAGATCCACCAGACGAGGCTCGTCTGGTGGAACGGTGGGCAAGAGG